AAATTTTTGCTTCAAAATTTCCTTTTTTAAAAACCCTTTTTACATTTCTTTGCAATAAATTTCAATGCAAGTAATTTGAAAAAAAAAATGTTATTTAAATTTATAAAGTTTTAGACAGCTTTTTGGATTAAGCTTTTTTTTGTAGTTTTAGTATTGAAAATTATACAATTCAGAAATTTTCATTGAAATACTTATTTATCAATTAACTTTTTTGTGAAAAGTTGAATTCATGATTTATATTAAAATGTTTTGATAATTGTTATGGAATTATAGCATTTCTATTTAAATCGCTAGAGCATTTTTTGACATTACGCAAAATTAAAAAAAAACGAATGAATGCAAGAAAATTTTTTTGCACATTTCGCAAATATTAAAAAAAATGTTAGGCATAAAAACATGAAAATTAAAAAGCTAAGCCAAAATTATGCTACAAAAGTTTGCTTAAATCATATAAAACCGGTAGCATACCAGATAAAAAACCGACAGCATTTCGGCTACATAGAAATGGCTTTCGACGTCGTGTGTTTCAAAATTTCCACTGTTAACAACAGTTATCAAAAAGTGGGTATATTTATTATTACTGAAACATTTCAGAATTCGTTAATATTGAAAAATTTAATAACAGCTTCTAAACAACTTTTTCACATCACTGCTGGCTGCTCAACTTGTCTTGGCTTCATTTGCTATAAGCACTTCAAAGAGTGTTTTCATTTTTTGTTGGTTGCAAAATAATGATTTTAGCTTTCTTGTAATTAACTAATATATTAATTTATATTAATTATTCACACGCACGCGGTAATTAATTATATTAATTAGGTATTATTTACATTTGCATTGAACTTCATTATTAATATTAGTTACCGTTAAACTAAAAACTTACGCTAATTTAAGGTTTCATTGTGTGAGTGTATAGGTGTGTGGGCGTGTATACGTAACTAGAGGGGTGTAGTGGAGCGTAATAGGAAATTGATTGATTTAACATTAATGTTTTTGTTTCGCACTGTTGTACAATAACATACCTCATACATATATTTACTATATATAAAACGCTTCATCAACAGAATTTGTTATTATTGCTTTTCGGTTCGTTAAGTTTACTTGTTTTACGCACTTTTTTTGGTACTCTTTCCATTTTGTCTGTGCAATAAGCCAGTATATATACATATACATACATATATGTACATGTGTGTATGCATTATTGAAGAATACAACAGCAAACGAATTTTACAAAAACAATTCACAGTAGTCATAAAAAAGTTGTAGGTTAGGAATAACAGAACCGTGTATTGCATTGAAACGAAATCAATTGTATATTGCATTTGTTTACTCTTTTGCCTCCGGTACGTTTACTTTAGTAGAAGAACTTTAGTTTTCGCTCTTGCTTGACTTATTAGCAACCTTATCAACACGTCTACGCTGTACTGTGCCTCACTGCAACATACTAGCTGCCGCCGAGGTATACTTTTCCACCACATTAACATCGTATATGTCGTCATTTATGCCTGTTATGCCTTTGTCCCCTCACGTCGCCGACTCACTGCCACATCTCGCCGCTACCAACACATCATCTCTGGTCGGTGTGTCACCGCGCGCTGCGGTGGTATTCACACTTTTCGTCGTTGTTGTTGTTTCTGGCTCATGCAGCCACTTATGGTTAGAGCTAGTGGTGCTGGTGGCACGTTTACAGATGCTGGCACTGTTGTTGCTGCTGACAACACCACTGCGTTCGGGACTTGCCTCACGCGAAGAGGCGCGCGATGTGGACGAGGAGGAGGAGGAGGAGGAGGAGGAAGAGGAGATTTCCTCTAGACAATTGTCCAAATTGTCCGTGGACGAGATGCTGTTCGTACGATTCACATAGAGATCACAGTCTGTAACGGTTGTTGGAATGAGTTGAGTAATTTGTATAGAATAGAACGCCAGAATTGTATAAATTGAGCGGAAAAGCACTATTTGATTTATGCTTTGGTGCACTTATGCTAGTTATATAATATCGGTTATATCAATTGTATGTATATTATTTTGCAGTGTATTAATGAATAGAATGTTGTGGAAATGTTCACTCACCTTTTTTGAGGGTCGCAAACTCACTTGCGGCACTGCTCAGCGTTGCCACACTCTTTTTCATATTGCGCAATAGTTTTAAACGTTCACAAAGCTTCTCTTGCTGTTTCTCGAGTAATGTGGGTGCTGCGCTAAATTGACCTAGTGGAAAATAAAATTCTATGCTATAATTTTCTTTTTTTTACGACAGATAATGTAAATATGAATTGGGTAGCCATTTTACAAATAATGAGTAAATAATTTTTATATTTAAAATTTATTTATTTCGAAACTTTTTATTTAAGTAATACAATTTTCTTTAATTTATAATAATTAGTTATAATTTTTT